AATATTTTATTTTATTTTATTAAAAAAAGCCATTGAAATTTTATCATAAATAATTGCGTAAATCACAAGTATCATTCAATTATCACTTATCACTTTTTCAGCAAAAAACAAAGAATATTCGAAAAAGAAAAAATGCATAACGTGTTACAGAAATGTTGCTCATTTACATTTCACTACAATTAATTAATTTAACTTTGAGTGTAATTATTTTCAGCAATTAATTCCTCATCTTATGATTCTAATTATGCTTTCTATCATTTTGTTTTTTTATTTTCACTTTTCATTAATTTTATTCTTTTTGCAATGAAATTTCACTTTTGTTCTAAAATACACTAATAATTTACTTTTCCGTTGATTTCAGGACAATTTGATTTGAATTATCTGACCATTAGCAATCTTAACTTTGATATTAGTACTGCATGATGTTAAATGAATAATGCTAAGTTAGAGAAAAACTGAATCACATAGACGCAAGAAAGTTTTTTTTTGAGCTTAAGAAATGATTATTTATTGTCACGGAGGAAATGAAATGGAAAAAAATGATGACGTACTGTGTAAATTTTTTTATTATCAGAAATTTTGGTATAATTATTAAATTCATTAATTTAATACAATTTTTCGTTGATCATTGATCACCAAGAATAATCTTTGAAAATAAGAAATTTTGCAGGAAGGAGGAAAATTATTGGTGCATTCATTCGGTGTTGGCTTGATCTCTTCAAGTTAAATAATCTTTTTTGCTTTGTACTTCTGTTTCCAATTAACCGGTAAGTTCAACCGGACAATTAAACGTTTAACCATTATCCGATGGTGCTAATATATCACTGGTCATTACGGTAGAATGACAATTTGAATTGTTAAGTTCATTTTGATTACACGTTGTTTCCGTGTCTTCTTCACTTTCTTCCGGTACTGCTTCCAAATATCCATCTGAGCAATTTGTACGAGCTATCAGGATACATTGATTTAAATGATCTTGAAGCATTTCACAAACCTGAAATGCTTTTCTTCTTAATAAGTTAATTTTTTTTAAATTAAAATAAAAAGTTATGCGTATTTTCCTGATATTCTATCATATGTTATAATTATATTTAGTAATTATTATCAAATGTTAATAATTTTTTGAAACTGAAAGAACAAAGTAATTAAAGTTACAAAATGATTCTTTCCGGTGACTTTAATAAATTTGATAATTTCAATATCTAATCCTTTGTTAAAAAATCAAAAATGCGAAAAAAAAACATCATCTTTATTATTTTAATACACACACACACACACTCCCAAATACTCATATTTCCCTATAAAACAAATTTGCTTGCAAAGGTTAAGTGTCAAATTTCACACACCAAAATAATGTTTACTCAGAGTAATGCAATAAGCCATAATAGCTATGTTTACTAGTTGTAATCTCGAATTCTTTGTTTACGAAAATGTTTTGTTGTAAACAAAATTTCATGGATGAATTCAGCTATTCGTGATGTTTTAACAATTTATATTGTACGACATTGTATGTCGTACAATATTTTTTGTATTGTATTGTATTGTATTGCACATTGTATATACAACATTTTTTATTTTATATTGTATAACTGCTATTGTACGACATCACAAGCCTTATAACGATAATATTGTTATTGTAAACAGGACAAATCATTGACTGGACTACCCAGTAGAGCATAAGCCACCAATGGATAACTCTAAATGGGCCACTAATGGATAACCATAAGTAAGCCATCAATGTTTAACTATGAGTAAGTCCCAATGGATAGCGTATTGAATTATGAAACGTTTCGTCATCTCTTCGATTTTGTTTTTTATTTCATTAACAGTTCAATAAAATTGGCATGTAAATATTACTTCAAAAAAAAAGAGTTCAATTGAAAAAAGGAAATAAAAAGAAAAGATAAAAATATCTTTTAACACTTCCACTGTCTTTTCAAAATGAATTTATCTAATTTTCTTTCTTTCCATATTGCTTTAAAAAAAGTTCAAATTTCGGGTCTCTTTAAATCATTAAAGAAAATTATATCAACAAAGGATCAATTTAATCATAGTTAATCCATAATAAACTTAAGCTAGGTTATTAAAAATTCAGGACAGGTCGCCTTTTTGGTGTTGCAAATTGGCCAAGTTTTAAAATCTAGTAGTGAAAATTATTTATCATAGTGTACCCTTAAATACACCATTGTCATACGGTGAATTTAAAATGATGAATATGCTTTAAATTTGAAATGCCTATGATTGAATGATTAATTACATCATTTCATTGATGTATCATTTTTGATAATTCATTTATTAAATTCCTCATTTCAAATCTACACTAAATTGGACTGTCAAAAATTTGATTTAAAATAAATTTTCAATTAAATTAATGACAAATAAAAACAAGAGAAAAAGTTGTTAAATAATGCAGAAACTGTAATTCATAGCATCATGAGTAATTAATTTGGAACATTAATTTAAATTTCGCCCTTTCTTCTTATTTTCTATGCTCCTCTTTTTATAAGGGAAAAACCTATTTACCATCCATAACTTTAACATTTTCCACTATTTTATTACTGAACACGCAAATATTATTAAACAAAAAAACAAGAATTCTTTTCTGAAATTTGAAATAACATTTTTAATATACTTGACAATTTTTAATTTGTATTTTTCAATTTGTACAAAATTTTTAGTTTGTACTTTTTTTGAAAAAAGGTACAGGGCAATTTTTACCGACTCATCTATTCGTTTTTAATTTCAGATTATAGGATATCTGTTGTTTTGTTTAGAATCATTGCAATTGTTTATTATTTACATACTGAAATAGAGAGAGAAAGAAAAACCGAGAACGAGAGTGGAGAAAGAGGAAGTAATTTTTTGAATATTGAAGAATTGCAAACTTTCATCGATAAAAAGTTTTATGGAAGCAATTCAAATAGCAGGAAAGGCGGGGCGCGGGGCGTATGAAAATTTCTCTATAAATGTTATTGATTTTATAAATTAATTTGATCATTTTAATTAGTGAAGAATTGCCTGAAGGAAAAAGGAAATATTTCTTCGTGTGCGCTTAATGTTTTAATGGAGTGCCGAAATTTGTTCAGAATTTCATTTAGGATTCAAGTGAGATTCTGAAATTAATCGTTGCTAGCAAATATTAATTTCAGTTTGTCCAAATAATCGAATAACCCAAAGAGAAATTACTGTTGTATTTTATAAAACATCAAATAATATACAGACAATGATAATGATCAACAGGTAGATTAGTGAAATTTTTTGAAGGTATAATTAATTAAGACATAAATAAAATTTGAAACATCACTGTGAAACTTAAACTTAAAAGAAAAGAAAAAAGCGAAAGGCCTATCGATTTAGATTAAATTTACTTAAATTTCGTTTTAATTTTTCCAAGATCACTGGCATTCAGAACATTGTAATTTCAATTTTGGGTCGAATAATTTGCGTGTCACTAATTAGATGTCTTAATTGTCCATGAATTATTCAGTAAAATTGTAAGAATTTTGAAAGGGTGAGAAAAAATTTAGATTTAGATTTTCATGTCATACATATTTCGATTATTAAAAATTTTTTTCTTTAAATTAATATCTCATTTGCATATTTTCTTTTCGCTTAATATTTTACTTTCGGTAAAATTTTGTATATTTTTATATGTGGAGGGAAGATTAATTTACATTTTTCCAAGTTTTTTTTTCTCTCTTCATTAAATTTCTCTAAAATTAAAAAAAAAATTCCGTTGGAAATAATTTTCATATTCGCTCTGCGAGATATGTATTTCAATTCATTGATAGTATTTGATAAAGGAGAGAGAAATGGAGCAAAAGTATGGATAAGAGAAAGAAAATAAAGAGAAATGTGTAGAAAAATGAAATGAATTCTTTTTTCGCAACGAGAAAAGTTTGAAGGACAATTAGAGTTAAATATTTAAAAAAGTTTGTTGCAAATTCAATTTTTTAAGTAAATTTGAGCTAAACTTTAATTCAATCTAATTCCTTGCATAATGTCTTTATTTAGGCTTTTATAAGATTAAATTAATAACATTAAACATTAAAAGAAAAGTTATACATTTTTTCCATGTCTCTCTTGTATCATTTTCATTTCAGTCAAAAGCCTTGCTAACAAATTTACAAATTGATAATTTCAAGGAAAGCGAATCTTCCCTGTGACAATAAAATTAAGACAAATTATAGCCAATCAAATTGTTTCAGGGATTTTATTTCCCATTTTTATATTTTTATTAAGCCTAAAATTAAGCTTTTCAGATAATGAAAGTGGAAAATTACTTCCGATTGCAAAACTCGAGATATCAGCTATCGACATGGCACGAGTTTCCTTTTTTCAATTTCAAAGGGAACGGAAAGGTCCTTTAAAAATATATTTATTGTTCTCGACCGGAGGAACTTTCTAAAAGTTTCTAGAACGCTATTAAAATTATATTAATTACTTATCTTGCTTTCGGTTCGGCCAATTCAGATTGTTTTGCAGTATACAACCACTAATTAGAGGATAATGTTGAAAAAAATCTCATTTACATTCGTTGCACCATCAATTCTATAATTTATTTTCAAACTACTTTCTCTTTTAGCAATCAAATTTTTTTCTAAAAAATTTGAGCTTCACAAATTTTGAAATTAACGAGCATCCATTCCTCTTCCTTAATGCATGAGAAGAATTTGTATTACATAATGAAAAATATTCATTCTACTTTTTTCAGCAATTAAACAATTCCAAGAAATTTGAATTTCATGAGAATTTGAATTTCACGATCGTCCTTCATTTTCTATAATTTGTAATAAAATTCCTTTCCCCTTTTTTTTATTGTCATCAGAAATATTCCGAGAAATTTGAAATTTTATAAAATTTAGATTTTATTTGAAAAACATTGATCTTTTTTTAAATCTTTCCCTCAAAAAGAAGGATTTAATTTTGGTGAGTGAATAATGTGAAATGAATTTTTCGCAGAAAGAAAGAGCAATTGATGCGTTTTTGGTTCTGTTTTATAAGGTGCGACAGAAAGGTGAAGAAAAGAGGACGGGTCGATCCCATTTGATTAAAACGACCAATAAATCATTCACCAAAAAGCTGCAAGGACGAAAAGAGGAAAGAAAGAAGTAGCAATCATCGAGATCGATCGATCGATCTATCGTTCAATTGAAATATATCATTCATCAAATAGGGACCATTCATTTATTTATTCTGCTATTAATAAGATATATTGTCAACTGTAGAAAGAAGGATTAATTATATTCAATATCAGCAATATAAGCAATCTAACATATTATTAATTATTAATTAATGCTGATAATTATGGTATCGACAAGAAAAATTATTTTATGGAAAAATGTAAGAAGTAAAAAAATAAAAAAACAAGCAACATGCTTTTTTAATATAATTACTGTTTTGGTGTAAAATTACACTACTATTAATTAATTTATAAACATTTGAAGATACAAACTTTTTTTATTTATTTATTTTTTCCATTCCAATCGATTCACTTAATAAGATGAATAGTTAGGCTATTTTGGATTATATAAATTTTCAAATTCCGATTCTATATTATAATATGTTTTATGGCAATGATATGAATATATCAATTCCAGAAGAATATTGAAGAAACTTTTTCCTTCCTATTCATATATATGAAATCATTCTGAAATAGCACGAAATCATTCCAGAAAAGAATGGAATGTTTTTTTCCTCCCGATACCTGTAAGAAGCAAATTTGGCAAATTAAAACAGAAAACAACTATTACTGAGGTTTAATTAATTAGACATTAGCTTCGCTATACTAATTTCACTCAATACAATTATCAATGAAGTTTTCGTTTTTTTCATTCAATTTTTTTTGAATTTTTTTTCTATTAAATACTTCATTGATTGATATGTCAACAAAAATATTCACAAAAAAATTCTGTCTTTTGGTTATTTCCATTTATTTTACTGATATTTGTTAACGTTTGCTTGTAACAATTAAGTTTTTATATTACAATCTGTCGTAATTTATAATAGCAGTAAATGAATGATCGATCTGATGGAACATGTGGTTGATATTTCGAAATGAAAGCAGAAAGGCTAAGTCAAATTGACAGATTAGCTTTTGGCTGTTGAGAAAAGTGCTTTTAGACTCATTTAGACTCAAAATCAAAACAGTGACTACTAATATATAAATATATCGTTCTCATTATACTAATACAGAGATTAGCAATGAGTGATAATTATAAGCTATTAAGCAAATAATACACAACATTAATAATACAGTGATGTAATAACAATTTAGCGTAAATAGATTAAAATAAATAAATTTTTTTGTTTAATCAATTAATTGAAATTATAAGTAATCAAAAAAATAATGAATACATTAATCTATTTGTGTTTTAGTGATAAAATGATATGTGTTCAATTATCCCGTGGCCGATAATGGAAATAAAATATTGGATTTTATAGAGGCGTGAGATGATTTCGAAGAAAATTTGAATTAAAAATTTACACAATTTAGGCAATTCTATTGAATTAGAGAACAAACCATTGAAAATAGAAAAGTTGAAGACAGCAATTAGCAGTGAAGAAGAATTTTTAATGACTTCGAATAATAAAAGATATGTGGGTAAGATTTGAATCAGACATGAACAAGATTTTAATAGCTTAAATGAAATTAAAAAGAAATAATTTTCTTCGTTTAAATGAGCTCAGCTTTGGTTACATGCATAAATTGGCTATAAAATGTAATTGTTTGATGGATATTGGGGCAATATTTTATAAGATCGCGAATGAGTCCCATCTGGTTCTGGCCATTTGTCAAACATTCTCCCCTGCGAATTTTGCTCGTTAATCATGTGTGCATTTCAAATAAATCTGTTTTAGAATTAAATCATTCATAGATTAGTAAACTGGTCCATAGAAAATTTTAGATTTTCATGAAATTGTGAAAAAAAATGAATTGCATTATTAACAATCCATTAGTTCCTACACAAGGAAAGGAACAATATGGTTAATTTCAAATCAGTTTGAATTCATAAATAATTTAGTTCTCATTCCAATTCATACTTCCATTTTCTTCAATTTTCTATTTGATGATGTAATATGTCGATTTGATACTATAAAGAAAAATCTTTCGAAGGTTATTAAATATTTAGTATAAAAATGAAAGAAACCTTAAGAGAATCATGAAGCATTGCATCGTACACTGTCGAATCAAAAAGACAATTATCCAATGATCGTGCAGCAAAATTGCTGGTATCAATTACGGCATGTTTCGGGATTGAACGGGCTACTCGAGGTTGTGCATCCGCTAATGTTTCCAGTGCTTCCATGAGATATCCCGGATCTGAATAATTCATCGCACTAATCGAATAAGCCTTTTTCGGCATCGGTAATTCCGGACTTCTTTCAAACATACTCCGACTTTCACTTCGTGATCGAACATTCGATAAAACATCAGATTTTGGCGATGAAGAATTCTTGGGCTGATGCATACGGGAATTTTTATAATACCGTTTATGATCCGTAAATTTAAAATCGGTTCTTGCTTGTTCATACTGTTGATGGAATGATGACGGTTGAAATTCTTTGGCCCAACTTGTGCTTGCTGATTCCAATGGTACCGTCAACATTTCTGAATTTTCCAAATTATCATAACCATTGGTATGAGCGATATTTGTGCTACTGTTAGTGTTCCCGTTTGTTAAAAAAAGTGTGGAAGAAGGAGAAGTGACCTTCTTACTATCATCCGATGATTCCGTAACATTTCGATTTATTCGTTTCTTCCTCGAAAATAATGACAGAAATGCGGAAGAACTTTTCGTAGAAGGAATATCATCAGGTGACATGACTCTTCTGAGAGAAATTCAACAAAATTTCAGAAAATATCAGATGTCAAAGAGTAATACAGTCCCGCATAATTGATGATACCGGTATCAAATGAAAATTCAGAAATCTAAAACGAAAGAATGATTTCACTACAACAGTTAATATCCTTTATGAAAGTTTGCGGTACTACCGGAAATTATTATTACTAATAGATCGATAATGGAATAATTGGAAAATAATAAAATTTCACTGTTCCATGCAAAAACTTAATAGAACTGAGTGATTGTAATTGAAAATAAAAAAAAAATGTTTGGTATGAAAATTTTTTAAAAATTAAGCGAATGAACTTTTTACTGATAATATTTTTGGCAACCAAAGAATCGTTGCAAAATTAATTGAAAATTTCTCTTCCAGAGAATTCTACAGTGTTTCGTAAATTGGTTCAATTTAACAAATTTATTTTAAATAAATGATAGCTCTTTTTTCTCAAATATGAAAAATAATTTTCTCTAAAAAGGAACGTATTATTAGAAAGTAAATAAAGAAGTACTGAAATTAACTGGGAACTGTAGAATCACATCCATTATATTGTCAATCTGTAAAATACAAATAGCTCAAATAATTTACTGGAATAGTTAATTATAATGTTGGTTAATCATTCCGTGTATCGTTGAGGTTATTAAAATAACCGCGGCATTCAAATAAATCAATCATTTATCTAAGAAAATTCATGGATGCTAATTATAAAATTATTCCATTTAATTTAAGAAATAAAGAAACTAGAAAAAATTGAAATACAATAAAAGAATTGCTTAAGTTTGACCAATATTCCTCAAAGAAAAAAATAAAAATATCCAATAAAATAGTTAATCTAAAATTTGAAAACCATGTGGATACAGTCTTAGTGAAGTGAAAGCTATCGGTTAATTAAGGAAAGTCAGGGTGATCTGTCCAAGTTGTACAATACGGTGCAAAGTGGATAAGCTTTGATTATCAATAATATATTGATAGCATATGTTTGTAACAAAAAAAAACAAAAACGAGAATTTATACAGCGGATAAACTCGAAATGTAACTCCGACTAGTCGAATTAATTGAATGTTCGACTGAAGTGGAATTCACTCCAACATATATTCTACATGTTCGTGTAATGACATAAAAAATACTAAATAACAAACTTAAATATTGGTGAAAATTGAAAATATAAAAGCTTAGATTAAATCATTTGAAATTAAATTTAAATCAAACTAAGAAAATGCAAATTATTCTGTTACTAATTTACTTAAACGTTCCCAACCGTGCATATCACAATGCTATCTTAAACATCTCATTTAAATTACATTTACTTTTTCTCAAATTTAAGTATTAGATTTTTTCCAACTGTTGCGTTTAAGAAGTAAAATAGCATTTGAGAATCCATTCTGGACAGATTTTATCGACAGATCCAATGAAGAGGACGAGGAGGAGGACGAAAGAAGTATTCACGACCTCCCTCAGTCGTCACTACCACCACTACTGCCACCACCATCACCATCATCATCATTATCACCATCACCACCATCACCGTCACCACTACCATCACCACCATCATCATCATCATCATTACTATTATCAACGTCATCTTAACACATAACTACCAGCATTGCTATCGTTATCATTGCTCTTATTAGCAACGTCATATCATTATCACTGCTGTCATCATATCATCCCACTAGCCATATCACTGCTGCCGTCATCACTGCCACCAAATTATTGCACTGAAATTGAGAAGTGAAGAAAAAAAAAGGAAGTGAGGGAAAGAGGTTACTGCCAAGGGCTAATTGCCTCCTTACCTCTTCCTTATTATGAAATTTTGAACTTTATATATGTGTGTGTGGTGTGTGGTGTGTGGTGTGTGGTGTGTGGTGTGTGTATGTGGTACTATATATTTAAGTGTGAATACAATAAATGATAGTAAAGAAAGGTAAAACAAACGGAGAATATGATAGCTTTCTTTACCTTTCTACAAATTTGCTAAGCACACTTGTCACCATTTTTTTGTCGTCTCTTTTTTTCCTCCTCCTTTAATAAAATCCACGAAAAAAAACTTACTGGAAATAAAAAATGGGAGGAGTTCTTATATTTATCAAATTACTATTATCTAAGCAAATGAAGAAATAAAATATTATTTGTCGTACATAAATTTAATTATATATTTATATTTTTGGAATAAATAACAACTGAAAGTGATCGGTTTCGAGAAAAATAAAGAACAAGCGGGGGAGCGGGATTAGAGGGGAGAAAGATAAACAGTAAAGAGTGATTATTTGACATTGTTATTTCGTTTCATTACTTCTTTAGCTACCAATTCGAGCATATCACATTGTTGTAAAATTAGTTTTTTTGATAATTCTTTAAGAATGAAATAAGTGATAAATGTATGAAACAGCTGAATGCCTTAAATAATAAGCCTTATCAAAAGTTTTACAAGAAAAAATCGATAATGAAACAGGGAGAGAGAGAGAGAGAAAGGGAAAAAGAAAGAAGGGATGAATGAAAGGAAATGTTTTTCCCTTCATCCTTTCTTCCTTGCCAAATTTTATGGCAAATATTTGTTACTTCTTTCAAATTTAATTTGTAATAATTATCATACTTCTCAAACAGATGAGTAATTTATTTGCTTCATTCGTTCATCAATTCAATATAATAATAAGCAAAACAAAAAAAAGTGCATTTACTTTAAAAAGTATTGATAGTTTAATCACTTTGTATTTATTTCAGTACATTGAAAACAAAAAAAATCTTATTTAGTTAGGATAATTTAACAAAAAAGGCAAATGAAGCTATGGGCTCACTTTTTTATTTCCTTTTTAATTAGCTTATTGTTAAAGACCAATCTAATCCAGTTAATGATGACAAGTTATTCTATCTCACGATATATAATCTCATTAAAATATTTGATGATGATGTTTACTAGTGAATGAACAAATTACAAAGTAATTTCAAATGAATGTTTAAGAATTATTTATAAATTGTCAATGAATTAGGAAATTCACAAATGATGAAGAATTTATCCTTTTCAGATTGTCATCTCATTTAATTTAATTATACTTTCACTCTCTGTTCCGCCATTGTGTCGTCGTCTCCTCTCTGTCTTCTCATTTTCTCTAATGAAGTATGTTAAATTCCCTGCTTCAGTTTTTTTTTTTAAATTAATCTTGGAAGTACCGTCGGTTAAAAATAATTAATCCTTAATTGTTCATAGAAAATATAGTATAAAAA